ATAGCAAATCCTTGCTGCGCAGCCTGTCGGACGTGTTAATGCGAGTACATCAGAACAGCTGATGTTTTCAAATCTTTGGGTTGCGCTGTGGTTTGTTGATCGTCGTTGTGTGCCTTTAACGGGCATATTTTGAATTGTTTTTTGTACTCATTCGGAATACTATTGAAGGTTTTTTTCCTCCTGGTTTGGGGCTGCTTCTCGATACGGCAGTATATTTCATTTGGAACTATATTGAAAATATCACATACATCATGGCGATGTATTGCATAAGAGGCCTGTGATTAGTGTTCTTCTCGTGTGTTACTGGTTTTGTAGTGGTTCATATTTGGGTAGATGCTCACTATAGAGGGAGCCTCTGGAAATTTGGGAGTGCTACGACCAGGGATCTTCTGGGGGAGGATTCACACGACTTGTTTATCTTAGTTCGCTGTCGGTTTACTTGGCAGATATAAGTCCAACAAATGCATGAGAGCAAACAGCTACTCGGTTTGTGGACTGGTGATGGCTTCTTCAGATTAATGTTTCTCCCTGCTTAGCCTGTTGGATCAGTTCGTGGTACTTTCGCGGGATTTGACCCCGTAGTGAAATTGCATAACCACGTAAAAGACGTTTACTAAGGTTTATGTACACATGAAGAAGGAAACTGTACAGGAACAGAGGATCAATAAACTAAAATGCAAAGCGTGTGCGAATGTCCTCCAAGCGTTTTGCTATGTCACTCGGAACCTTGTCCATTTCTTCAGCAATCGACCTTTGCTTCGCTGGGTCTAAGGAATTGAAGATTTCGCAGAGATCTCCATCGATCACGTTCTAAAAAGTAAGAGTACTCAGTGGTTTAGCTTGGGCAAACCCAATGATTTTCAAGTGTGAGATAGATCAACCGATTCAGCTAGCCAACACAGGCATATGCCGAAGCAAGTAACCTGTATCGTCTCATGTTTATGAGGTGAATGAGTGGATAAAACGGAGACCACTGAAAAATATCGGGTAAAACGGAAGTACCGAGATGCCCATACATCAATTACCTTCTGTGACCAGGTGTGAAACAGTCAAAATGAACATCCACAGTTGGTCGATCGAATGTAGGAATTCTTAGTAAGCGGTGAATTCAACATTCGTAAAACAACCCACAAAAAACTGAACACTATAAAACAAAACTGAAAAGGGAGCGCATCAAAATTACCGAAATGGTTTCTGTTCCTGTTTCATATTAGAAAGGTATGCCTTGACACTAAAAGACGAAAAGTAACACCATCATGGACTGAGGCTTCGCTGCCGTACAAGCATGATATATTTGAAAGCCTAACCAAAACCAACCCACTCGGAATTTGGTTCTGACAGAACAGTTTTCCAACACCTGGAGAGGCCTCAGTCCCGCAGATGTAACAGGCAAAGCCTCCGCCATACAACAAAAAGCCTGTACCGTAGACTGATACACACGCCCCTTGAGATTCAAAGATATACCGCTTTGACGTCATACGTTTGAAATTAGCGAAGATCCGATATTTGAAGCTTCGTGCACTGGCCTCATTTGCCACACCACACTCAGAACCAAAGCAACTTCAATATATATAAAACGCTTCATAACTTCGAATGGTTCTCCCTGGATTGCAAGCACCGTTTTCAGTGACTACATGTCCGAAAGCAGTTCGGACCAAAGGACCCGTCCATCCAAAAATACGAGCCATTAGAGGGCGACAAAGCACAAGTGGCGCCAACAGTGTCGTCATCACCGGGGTTAAGCCCACACCCCTGCGGTGACCACAAACACAACGAGCTCCTTTTTCTTGAAAATGGGCACTATCACTGACTCTCCCCAGTTGTCTGGGACACTCCTTTTCAAAAATATAGGCAAACAGGTCAGACAAGCGCAAACTGAGGATTTTGCCCCAAAAATGTTTGAACAATGCTGGTAGGAGGTCATCCGCACCAGAAGCTCGGTGGCGCTTGAGAGAACATATGCAGTCATAAACCTCCGTAGGGGGCTGTACGTTCACCCTTCAGGGTTCTACGTCAACGGTTCAGTGGATACAGTGCGGATTAGCTGACCGAAAGATTCGAACCCGACCTCTGCATCTTGGTTCCCCCTGTCTAGGCTTGGTCAACTTGGCAGTATCCCAGCCCTCGTGCTTCCTTCGGATGGCATGGCAGCTAGCCACCGAGGTGTTACAGCTGAACGATAATTTTTTATATCTTTCTACGTCAATAGTAGGCTTCAGATGAGTAGCAGTTGGTGACCACGATTACTATTTAGCCCATTGGTCGAGGCTTCCATTATCCAAGATGGTCACACCATTCTGATCCTTGGTGGTTCCGCTCACAGGTTTCCGGGGCCCAGTTGCGCGAATCAACTGAAGTAATTCTCTGAGCATTGCCGGCTTTCTGGACCTTTTCCATTTCCTTGGCTTTCCGTGTTCACCAGACTATACGATCGGCCGGCACGCTGACTTTCATTTCACACCTGATAAGTCGCCGCGTCAAGTTATGCTCGGGACCGGCTGGATTATTTCTTTGAGATTCAAGCAGCGCCACTGTTTGGTCTGATATACAGTGCTTGAGTGAGCTTGGTAGCGCCGTGTCACAGGCTAAACTCCCAGCACTGTGCGAAGAGGTGGCTATCTCGTCCCAGTATGAATTCACATCTGATGGTGGAGTATTTGGAAGAGACCCCAATAAACGACGCCAGTGAATCTGTCCAGATAATACCGTCCCCTGCACATTCTGCCAGTGCAGCTTCTGGATCACCAGAGGCGCTTCGCGCAGCCGTTAGCTCAGTCACTGGGCTAGCATCTTAAATCCCTATTTACGATACACAACACACATTTATGCCAAGCGAGTCCAGTGTGAGAGCAAGTGCAGCTTGTTGGCCGGTTCGCTTCAGAGTGCGGCAGCCAGATAGACTGGGCGTCGAGGCTTGAAGATCCATTTCGAGATGCCTCAGGATGTCGCCACTGGATGACAGGCAGATGTTGCTTGGAGAACCGATGCAGGAAGAATGGATTCATCGGTCCTTAGTGCTGGGCCTACAGAGGGACAGTTATTAATGGCGTGGGGACGGGGGAGAAAAAGTGTGGAAAGAAAATGAAGCCATCAACAGTAATCTGTTTTCGCTTACCCGCCTGACGACATAAGTTTATATGTTTGTGCGGTTCATGGTTGTTCGTGGGGTGGGATACTGCCAGGGCGCCTACACCCGGGGAAAAGGTGGTTGTAGGTTATGTTTGGCTAGTGACTTTATGAAATTGTGGTTTATGCTGCTCCGAAGTTCACAAGAATGCATGGATGTACGGTGCACTGGGTAACCAGGATGGTGCCTCATATCCAAAAGCACATGGGTCACACAGACGGAACTCGTCTCGTAAGCGCGCAACACCCACCGTATTGGTGTGTAGTACCCAACGACAAGCTATGGGTGCACAAAATCGTGAACGTGATCCGTTCCTCGTACATTTATCGTAGTACCTAAAACCGATCACCTCCCATACATCTCCAATTGCAAGGAGAACGTTCACAAATTGGACATTTCGGATCCTAAATCTGAATTTGGTAGGTGATAAAAGTATAACTAAGGATGGTACGGTGGCTTGGTTAACACAGCCGCTGCTTCACCACAGCTGTTTATATGTCACGTGCGGCTTGCTGAGGACCGAGTTACAGGAAATAGATGTAAGCTTCCGATTACACAGAGCGCCTGTTTTCAAAAAGGATAGAATTTTTGCGAACAAACAACTGTGGTATCAACCTGGTGACGTGCTCTCTGGCATTACCCGATCAATTGGCGGAAATCAGGCTTGAGAGAACACGGATAATGTCCCGGATGAGGATACACTGACCACGTCTCCATTTCACGACACCAGAGTCTAAAAGGACAACAATGACTTTTTTCTTGGACTGGAGGTTGTCTTCGATTTTGGAAATCGTCAGATCATATGGCCAGTATCAAAAACTGGTGTCCCATCTGAGCTCACATTTTCCAGAACCATCAAATACCTGGGAGTTTATGAGCTGATGTCGTCTCGGTCCACCGTATCTAGTGGTGCTAGGCAGAGCTATCCACCAAATGCGTTATCGATCTATTACTAAAATCTTCCCAACCAGTTTCCGGCACCGTTAGAAGAGAAAGAATTAATTTGGGACGAGTTGCAAGCAGTCTAAAGTAACCTAATTTTATTCGGCTTTGTTTTGGCACGTTTCAATTGTTCAGCATGTAGGGCTCTACTTCAAGATTAGTATCTAACCAAATCTCACAGAAGAGCCCACCAATGTGGCAGATAAATTCACCGACGAAAGCCAAATTCCTGAATCGGAATATCCACAAAGAATTTCCTCAATATCTGACACCTAGGGCACAATCGTGACATTAACATCTCTATCAAGTTTTCAAAGCTGTTATACACCTCGTACTGTTTTGTAGGTACGAAACGTGGTCAATACGTGCCAAAGATGTAAGAAGACTTTCATTGACTCACCACCAAGTCCCAAGAAGCACGGCTCGAGGCTGTGTTCAACATCGGTCCAGTAATGGTGAGGCATGTCAGAAAAAGGTACTCATCCAAGGTAAACCAACAGTTCACGGTAGTTAGGATATTCCTTTTACACGTCAGAAAACAACCTTAGCCACAGCACCTTTTTGTCCATCTTAGTGTCGAAAGGAAATGACGTAACGATGATACGTCGGTGACTTGCTAACAAAGTATGTACCATAACGGAAAAATCATATTGGCAACTGCCATCTTCCAAGATGAAAACCAACTGAAGGAGCACACAATGATCAGTGATTGGGCTGCTGATAGCAATGGCCCAGTCACGCAGCTGCTGTGCATGTGCATTGAGGCTCCAATGCGTAGCGTGACAGTTTTCTAACAATTCAGCGTCTTAGAACTGAAATCGAGCTCTGCTCACAATTATCATTGTACTTGACAGATACCAGCGTGGGTGCTGAGATAACCGTAAAATGTGTGTATCGTGTGAGGTAACTGTCACCTGGAAGACAAAGAAGAGGACATTCTTACTGGTTCGTTAGCCTTTTCATATTGTATCAAACAGCTTCTTTAGCTCGAGTGATGTGCTCATAGGTGAAAAGGAAGAAGGGTTGTGCAAAAGGAACTAAGATTAAATGAGGGCCATCTGAGCCGTCTCAACCGAACGTGGAATTACAGTCACGCCGTCTCTCCATATTCCTATGGATAGTTGTGCGCATAAACGAATGAAAACACCCTAGAAACAGAACACTTACGCGGCATGGATAGTGCTGAGAGCGATAATGTACATGTTCCCGTCCAACGAGTGACATGCCCTCAGACCGCATGTGCAGCTCCAGATGTTGAAAGAAGTCATAGGCGTCTCGTGATGAGAACGGTACTAGCATGCCCAATCCGCCAGACAACGTTGCGTAAACAATCCCTTCGGAACCACCAGGTATAAGAGTGGCTCTCTGGAGAGTTGTAACAACCTCCCCAACGTAGAAATGGCACAGAACCTGAAGATGAAACAGAAACAGGGGCTAGCGCGTGTGGAAACATGAAAACTAAATTACAGAAAAACGGTCGATAATGGTGACTTACTTCCGCCTTTTGGCTGGCACCACCAAGAAAGCCACGATCCCAGAGGGCACGGTTGCCACTTGGGTCTTCTTCAATATCATCAATTACGCCATTTGGAAGCCGAAGGATAATCACATTACCGAACTTGTCGGAGATTGCGACCGTCGACGGGTCTAACACAGCTAAATGAGTTATCCACCGAGGATTTGCGTCATCGGCAAATATGACCAACTGGTTCTCTGACCGAGGACGATAGCGCAGCCAAAAAGCGCTCTCTTGAACATCAGTCACGATGATGCGGCTTCCGATTGCATATATCCCTGTAATCAAATTTGGGATATGCTAGGAGAGCAAAAGTGAAATCAGCAAGAACTTACTTTATTTTCACATTTCTTTAACAGCTTCTTTCTTCCCATGTCGTATATACGGAGACGTTTCCCTACGCCGACCAGGAGTCGACCCTGAAATGCGCATACAGCAGCAGGAAAGTCATCCACGAGAGTTTCATGAATGAATTCTAGATGATCGCCGTTGTTCCAAACGCGATAGGTGCGTAAGCATCCACCGGAACAGGATCGCGGACTGAGGTTAAGACCCTTCACCAGAGCGACAACAAGAAATAGTTCGCCAGGCCTATGGAGTTGGAAACAATATTGGATTAGCCAAAAATCGAGTCTACACTAATCAATTCATCCAATCGATCCAACCAAAAAACGATATATAGACAGCCGTCAGATTTAAATGAGACGGCGTCATTGATTTCCCGTCTATTGAAGGATGGTTTAACCCCATTACGTTCGACTTCATTCCACAAAAACGTTAGCTCTGAATACATGTCATTGCGAAATGATCACAGACGGTGGCCGCTCAAGATGATTACACCACCAGTCTGTTGGACGTCTATTTCTTCAGCCGCTGAGGTGTTAGTGTATGAGTCAAAACCTCATTCCACAGGTGATGTCGATCTACGGCAACAATCCGAGAGCACCATATCACAGTTTCAGCTTCGTTACGTCATTGGCAAAACAAATGGCACAAATTTCCGGGAATTCAAGCCCACGTTCTTCTGACCTCCATTAGATCGGTAGTGATATTTTCGTATCACATACGAACGAGGACTACGGAGAAAATTCGCATAGGACTGTGGCAGAAACGAACAAGTTCTGAGGCGATACGTCGATTAGTCTCACTTAGTACGAGCCGTAAGAATGTCTGAATGTGTCGAGAGCCAGCTACGGAATAAACAGCGATATGTCCAGACTGGTCGACCGACCAAGACTGGGCATTTACAACTCGACGCCTCTAGCACTACCAGGAAGATTCTAGTAATTTTGTGGCAAATTTCATGATTGCCCTACCAACAGCGTTGCAAATCTTCTTTGGTCTCCATTAAAGACTACTCAAAGGTAACGTTCCTTCTGATAAAGCATAGCTGGCGGAAAGAAACAAAGCACCAACATAGGGGTTGCAGTACCGTTTGCAGCGCACGAAAGAAATAGTAAATAATAAAGTTCCGCAAACAGACCAGTTCAACATCGGGGGTGAAACATCTGAATAAGGAAAACGAGCAGTTGAAGACGACTGTAGAGCATGAGCACATCCATGATCGGCGACAAAATCAAAACAGATTCACATTCCAAAAATAGAGATAAGGGTTCGAAGTAATCGAGTTGTCGTGAAACGATTAGCCCTCTGGATAAATTTTGGGGAACAAAGGAACCGAAGCGTTCTAGAACTAGATTGACTTCATGGAACAATGGAGTGGGTCAGGTAACTTCGAACTGGAAGAAAACGTAACTTACACTGGAAGTGCAAATGATTTGCATTAGCAGACCAGGGGGGCGCAATAAAATTCGAGTTCAAAATGAAAAATACGAGGTCCTGAGGTGACACATAATCCTGCTTTACAGTGGGGAAATATAACATCACTAACGCGCAACCACTTAGTTCGCATTGAATGATCTGATGTTGGCTGTTCCTGAAGTGACGGATTTTCAGATGACGCCCATGGGACGTGTGGAATGGTCCACTAGGATTGGCTTTAAAAGCTTGTGCTCGTCGTCAATATTCCATGCAAATAACCGGACAGTTGGCCAATTGTAGAAGAACTGATTGTCATTGTAGTCCCTAAACTTGGACCTGGTGTAAGGTGGAGGAAGAATGCCGACCGGCCGCTCGCTGAAATATTCTATGCAACGGGATATTCATTACCCTAAATGGTAGGCTAGTTGGTTACTCGGAGTTTTCGTATGCGTCGATGATATGCCGATCCCATCTCCGTTGGAAAACAAGTTATGGGGTTGATCAAAGCAAAACTGAAATCCCAACTTTCAAACACAAGCAGGTAAAAGAAGCATGAAGTAAAGCATAATATACGTGCCATCAAATATATCACTGAAGAATGCGATTCAATAAGACTCACCGATTGAGGAAGCGCACTAGAGAAAGAGCGTGGGCAGCCTCGTTCTGTGGAAATCGAATCAGATGGGATGTTGTACCATCCAGGGGGTTAAGACAACGCAGCAAACTAGCCCACATACCGGGTCCTGCTTTGGGCGCGCCAAATACATTTTCTGGGAGATTTTCTTCTAGAAATGCTGCTGCTGACTCCTTCGCCAACTGAATTTCTTCAGGTGCCCCTCCAGCTGCCGATGCAATCATTTTCTACCATTAAAATTAACACAGGAACAACTCAAACGGCGACAGAACAAATCAAACCAGAAAATGCTTAAAAATACATATTCCTTTAGACCAACAATAGTCGTTTGTTATGAAGAGACACCCTTTCAGAGAGTCAATCCTCTTGACTAACTGCCATGAAACTCACATTCAATAACAATGTTCATTCAATAAACACAAAGCGGTTCCATCAACTGTTTCGTCAGTACTAAGGTCAAAGGATCCTTGGACTGTTTCTAACACGATTTTCAAAATCAAAACAGTGCGAAAGCCCGTACGCGTTGGGTATAATGCCGGTCTGTATTGTTCCTTTCTGACGGGTAATCTTTGTTTTTTTGGAGCAATGAGTTTTCCGAAACTTAAAACTGTCCATGATTGCTCCAAGTAGACTTCGTATGACATTCATTCCCAAAACATCCATCTTATTACGTCTGCGCCCCAAAGAATACACGGGGACCATATTATGGCGGGATATAAATTACGGTATGTCCGTTTGGAATGTAAGCACCTTGACACCAACATCAGAAGCATTTCGTAATAAACCCCAGCAAAAAGGATGCTTGATTGTCCCAATTTTGATAGTTGGTAGAAAAATTTCACAAGCGAACACAGGCTGAACATCAGACGACTACGAAAACACCCAAGCACTTACAGCAGAAACAAGACACTAGGTAACGTCACCACGGAAGGAGCTAGCCCAACAGAGAAACCTGCCAGAAAACTAAATTCTGCAAAGCAACTGATGTAAAGAGCGCAGTTACAAATGAGGACGAACGACAAAGACATAGACGCACCATCCCAAATCACCGTAGCCAAAAAGGTCACTAGCATTATTTATCCGCCCTACTGAGTCATTGGATAAGTGGAGCCAGTGACAATGCAAGCAGGTTCGGAAAGCTCTGCAGGCATTCGAAAGGGCCCAATGGATGGGAAGACCATGAAATGACCACGGCCCCATCATGTCGGACACCTGCAAATATCGATAAATACGAATAGGCTCCATTCTCCTATACGGTGCAGCTTACGTTCACACACTATCAGTATGGACAGATTTCGCACCGAAGTATAAGCAACAGGCAAAAAATGAAGCCAAAAGCGCTCGAGACAGCTGCTACAACGTAAAACCACAGCAAAACACACGAAGACATGCTACAGTTAAGCAGATTGTTAACCCGCACAAGGAAAGACAACAGAACACGAGAAAATACGATACATACAAGTGCCGAAAAACGACGCGTCAACTCTAATAAAATTCTTATGGAGATTTGATGAACTAGATGGAATATCCGATGAATTTACGAAATGCTCAATCCATATGGTGAATTAGCTTATCCAGGCACTGGGTGGTAGATCAATGATGCTGCTACACGGGAAAGCTATGCAGAACTCTCTAGATCAGTGTCTTCTTTCGCCAAACAGCTACAATGGTCGCGAAGGGAAAAGGTTGAAAAGGACTCTACACTGGATTCCATTACTTCCGTACCGTGCTCATTACGGTTTTGAGGTCACATCATATCACACCAATTTCAAGCCAGTGTGGTGAAAAAATGGGCATGACGACCATGAAACACAAAAACACCAGGATTGACCCAGTGAACCATTGGTTTATTCAATTATTTTGAAATATTGTAGAGTTAACTTATTGGAGTCACAAACAAACGACGGACAAGATAGGTTCGCCGTTGGTACTCGAGCAGAAAAAAATTGTTGGTTTGGGAAGCGCCGCACAGATGAATTTTCTGATTGTTAGCCTAGACTCACAGAGAAATGAATTCTCGTGTTTCGCCGTTGTTCTTAGTAAAAAATGCAGCACTACCCCAAAACCACTTCGTATCGCGACGATAGGGCGGTTTGTTGTAGTGTGGGACGGCAAAAATATATCAGGGCATTCAATTTGTAGCTACCCAGTCACCCACATACTTGACTGTTCAGCTCACACCCGCTCGCTGGATCACGAGACTTGTCTTTTTCAATCCCACAACCACGTCACATTAAGGTGACTCATCAGACGTCGATTGTCTGTACCGTCTAGTGAGCGTAGCAACAACTCATGTGCTGACAAAGCCACGTACACGCAAACGGACCTACATATAGGGAAGCCGAACGCAGTCAGCACAGACTCGCTCAGCTCACCCCGCTCGCTGGATCACGAGACTTGTCTTTTTCAATCCCACAACCACGTCACATTAAGGTGACTCATCAGACGTCGATTGTCTGTACCGTCTAGTGAGCGTAGCAACAACTCATGTGCTGACAAAGCCACGTACACGCAAACGGACCTACATATAGGGAAGCCGAACGCAGTCAGCACAGACTCGCGCGCGCGCAGGGGGCAAGGAGTCAACCAAACACTCTAAGTTCACGGACAATTATGTGTAGCAGCCAAGCTGCGGAGAAAACACGTTCCCGCCGTCCGGACATTCACCAAGGGACTCTCACATACAACAAGTTTTTTTTGACTTGTTCCCATTTTCGCATTGTATTTATTTTTATACGTGTTGCAACCCACCACTGTCAACCATGCTAAAAACTTTTATTAGTGAATACGCCCTCTGATTTGTATTATGGACATCAGCACGAGTGCACTAATAATTGGTGAGCCTGACGTGACTCACAACCGATGTACCCGACGTAACAAACAATCCACATATCCGGGGTGACTTTTGGCCGTTTCTGTTACGTTTATCTATACTCCATTCACGCTGTGGTTACGCGCATTTGTTTCGCCATGTCGATTTCTCCCATCGCATCAATACGCAACATCAATGCTGCGTCTGTTCACTTTCCGTCATTTTGGAACCACTTCATGCATTCGCTCGCTCGCGTTGGTAAGTTTCTTCCCATGGTCTACCCCCAACGGACACTCATCTCTGACTCTTTATTCAACATTTCTTATGGAGAATATGAACAAAGACATACGTTCATGGACAAGCAAAACGGTCAGTCCAAGAGCTGGGACCTGCGGAGAAAGTACTCAAATTTGGGTGGAGGAGAGTGGAAGACGAAAAACGTGAGTGTAAGAAGGGAGGAGTCAGCAGTAGCATGTTTTTGCTTACCCGCCCTGCTGTATGCAGCAATTAAGGCGACGCGGCTGATGGTACCCAGCGACGGCCGATATTGTTAGAATATTGTTAGTTGTGTATTTCATGGTTGTACGAGGGCTGGGATACTGCCAGGGCGCCCACACCTAGACAGGAGGACGATTAGGGTCCTCAACCAAAGCATTTGGCTCAAAAGCCTAACCGCAAGGCAGCGGTGTTTGGCAAGGAAATGCGAATGCATTACCATTTCTCCGGAACAAGTCGCCACATGTTCCAACCTCCAACCTGGAAGGCCAGGAGACTGTTCGTCAGACCTCTACCCATCGACCAACCTGGTATGAGTGTCGCGCGGACAACCCCCAGTATAGCTCAATGGGTCTCCGAGGTACCCAAACCGCCACACCACGGCAAGGTCCAGTCTCTTCGTGGCGGCCGGCGAGGTAAACAAAACCAACTCGGGAACGAAAGTGATCTGTCTTGACAACGGCTGAAAAATGAGGTCAACTGTTGCCTCTTAGTTTTATTGGGTCATGCCAGGCCAGTACCTGCGATTAAAAAGTCGCACTGTACATTGTTGATTACATCCTGTCCCATTGGCAGGACACCACATAAGGTTGTGTTGGGGATATCAATATCCCCCAGAAAACGCTGTTTTTATGTGTGCTAGCGAACTCCTGGCATCTTCAAGGTCAAACTATGAAAAATCAATGGCCTATTGATACTCCAAGAAAATTTAAATCCGACCACG